GGAGTTCATAATCCAACCACTACAAAAAAAGAGGCTTTAACGAGGGTGAAAACCGGTCGTTAATTGTCCAAAAACGGTCGGGAAAGGTTATTAACGACAGGATATGACCCCTCATTATAGGCTTTGCCGGTAAAAGTCAATAACTACGGGAAAATTGTGTCCAGTCGTTGAAAGTATCAACGATGGTACTTTTTCCAGTCGTTAAAAATCAATTTTACAAGTAGAATCATTGGTATTGCCGACAAGAATTACCGTCATTAATATATAGCAAATGATAGAATTCCCGTAGTTATTGTGTTGCAACTAACAAAAGTCTCATCATTAATGAATCGCTAATGACGTTCAGAACCAACGAGGATGACCTATTTTCTAAAGTTTAATCATAAAAATAATTTTCATCATTTATATTATTAAATCGAGTGCATAAAAACAAATAGAGTAAGATTATGTCATTGTGCACAAATAACTAATTCAACACCTAATACAAACGAGAGATATTAGCTTTCTAAGTGGGTGGGAGCCATAACATTCCTTTCTTCAACTTCTTGAAGCACTCTTTTTTTATCCCCGAGCCTAACGTGTGTGGTTCCAAGTCCTTGCTGAAGCACTGGAAACAAAGTGATGTTACTCAATATATATAGAGTTATAAGGAGATGATAGACATATTAAAGATAGAGAATAAAGTAACGGAAGGATAGAGCTAACAAAAACAGAGGAAACATTCTACCAAAAAAAGAAAACAGAGGAAGCAAAGGAAAATTAAGTTATTTTCTCAAAGCTTCAAGAACTTTCAAAGTGAGGATAAGAAATTCACTTTCCCTAGACTTGCAATTAGAACACTTGAAGAATATTTACCTACAAAAGACAACAAGTGCTCTTATTCAAACAACCAATAATAGTAGGCACCAATAATATGCCAAATTAAACAAAAACAACCAACCACCATCTGTTCTTGCTGAAAGCAAACATCCAGTGTAGTCCAACTTGTGCATTTACAATCCTTTCTCAACTCTCTAGGTCAAGAAATATGGACGTCATGATGATCAAGAACAAACAAGAAACCCAGAAAGGGTACAACATTCAATCCAATTATTACCAACAAGCTACACATTTCCCGAAAGGTTGCTTCTTCCATGAGCTTCAGCTGCTCTCTATATTCTGCCCTCCCTCTCCAGTACAATTCTAATCTTTGTTCTAACCAAGATATATTCCAACCCCCCTGTCTAATTACTATTAGACTAACAGACAAAACAATGCAATGGTCTAGTTGAATCAAATCCATACAAGAATCAAATTAGAGTAGTATTTTTCTCAAAGATTGGATCTTACAAAGAAAGAGGAGAAACATGTCCCCCAGTCACTTATTTCCAAAGCATCGGAGTCGAATCAGTAAATCCACACAACTACAAAAAAGAGAAGCTAAAGAGTCAAACCAGAGATCGAGTTAGCTAACGAGAAGAGTAATTTCAATAACCCTAGAAATTTGGTTCTTGTATGGATTTGATAGCTGAAGGTGATATTCCATACCTCGCTTTGGGGCGCTAGATTCTGTAATCTCTGAATCGGGAATCAAGCTGGGATTGGAGACTTGAAACCCTAGCCCAATCCATCGGTAACAAGAAGGGATCGATAGGGGAGTTACAGTTGGCTGCAGCAGTGGGGACGAAAGACGAACTTCGAAGCGTCGGCACGAAGATGGAAGCGCTAGAAGACAAAGCCCGAAGAGGAGTTTTGGAAATGGGTGCTCTCTGCTCCTCAGTGCGAGCTCGAAAGTGAAGGAGGGCTGAAGGAATTAGGGATTAGGACGGGTTCCAATTTGGCTATTTAGTCAGGAGAGATTCTGGGGTCGGAACGATTAGAAAATAGAGATTGATGAGACGGGAAAGGGGTTGTGAGATGAGGGGAGAAAGACAGAGATCGTATGACCAGAACGAGTGGGTAAAGAAGCGGGGGAGATGAGTAAGAATGGAAATAACTTTACCAATTTCCAAGGGTTAAAAGTTAAGTTCAAACCCATTCCTTTGTGAACGTACAAACAGAGCCCGGGAAACGAAATTATTTTGGCGGTCTCCCAAGTTGAATTTTCAATACCAGTAACGAGGGGGTTCACTTGTCGTGATATATGTAAAAGCAATAACGAGGGGTTTTTAACACCTGTAACGACAAGAATAATGTACCCTTCATTACAAGGTGGTCCCATACAATTTATATGGTTTTAACGATGGGATTTGATCCCCTCACTAGTTTTTCCCCTCGTTACAACCAGTTTTTTTTGTAGTGAACATAAAACAATTGTATTGCAAGCATCCCAAGCCCGATACTCATTAGGGTGGGTTCTCAGATCTGGTACTTCAATCGACCCATCTATGAACCCAAGTTTATACTTGGTTTTAAGAGCAATGCGAATAGACCTAGCCCACATCTGGTAATTACTACCATCTAATACTTCTGAAACGATAGACTGAGATAGATTCTTGTTAGGGTTTTGATAGAAAGGGTTACCAAAGACGAACTCTGGTGAAATGGTTGAAGAACCTCCACTAGTTTTCCAGTAGTGTCAGTAGTTGTTGTAGCCGTAGCTGACTCTTTATTGTTATTGTTCGTCGCCATTGATGCAGCTACTGCCGAAGACTAGAAGACCTGGACGGTGTGTTAGACATATAATTAGTATAATAATTAATAATGTTGGGTTTGGCGGCTAACCTAGGCCGATTAGGTTAGGATTAGTTGATTAGGGTTTTGGGTTTATTTCCTATATATATGTACTTTGGGTTTACGTCATAATCAATCAAGAACAATATTACAGAAAGTATCTCTCAAACCCTAGCCTCTAATCCCTCTCAAATCTCGTCCCTCTCTTCCCTAAAGGCCGCCGGCCATTCTTCTATCCCAACCCCAATTCTGTTCTTCAATCCCTAATCCCCAACTCTCCTATCTAAATCCCTAATTCTTTCTCTCAAACCCTAAATCCCTAATTATCACGAGTGCCGAAGATCAGTATCGAGAATCCCTAGAAGCGAGGTTCTCACACGGTGGAACGCTGCTCTGATACCATATGAAAAGAGGCGACTGGACTGGGATGGAGGATCAGTAGAAAACCTATTGTCCGCTCTTTTGTGATTTTCTATTTATATGAAGGGGGGGGGGGGGGGGGAAGAGATTACAACGGATACCATACAGTGTTAACCGTTGTTTGAATCCTTTAAACCGGAGCCCGACACGTGGCTTGGTAGGATTCGTTATTTTGTAACTAATCCGTGTTTAACAGATTAAAGAATAAAACAAATGAAACGGCACCGTATGGAGAAGTGCCATTCTAATTCCAAACTTGTAAAGTCTTCCACTTGAGTCCATCTCGACCCTGCTGACTTCCATCAATCCTGAGTTGACTAGGATTGCTGTGTACAACAGCTGTAGCTGCTGTTCTTCTTGAATCAGATCCTCGTGGATCATTCAATATGAAGAGATTGACAAAAACTAATAACATTCTAGGTAAGAGCTACCTGAAATTGACAAGAAAAACTGTTAATCCCAAATTGCAAACGGCTAACCTGTTAAGGTTTGAGAAAATGAAGCAAACTAACAAAGCATATCTCATTGAACACTGAAATCCTAAAGGGGGATGATTTAAAGTAAATCCACGCAGAACTTGATTGTAACTGACCACTACAAATTGAACGAACGTGGGTAGAGATTGAAATCTTCTGTTCCACAGACCTAACGGTAACTCACAGGCCTCCGCGGATGAAAACTACGCAAGGAAAAAATTAAGGAAATCAGGAAAGTGAAAAACACTGGCGAGTCCATGGATTCAATTAATCATGCACATGCCACTAACTCTGTCCCAATTGGGGCATCGAACGTCGTTTGCGATGGAGCTCCTGCATGTTATAGCTAGGCTATGGCGGAGATAGGGCAACGGCTGCAGTGGTGGCGGTGGATACAAAGTCTCCTGCACCGCCGATGACGGAGAAGATGATCCCGAGGGAGGAGGGTTTGAGATTGCTTTCGACGGTGGACCAACTGGAGACTCCAATATACCGGAGAAAGGGAAGACAACGCTTGTTGCCGGGATCGCGGCTGGGAGGCTAAGATGAGATGGAAATGGAGCTACTACTCTGAGGAAGTAGCCGAATTGGGGTTGAAGATGACAGCGGCCGGAAGTATTGAATTATGAGAAAACCCTATAATGCGAATTGGGAGAAAAAGCAAGCTAAAATACAAGGAAGGTAGGGAGTCAGACGGCTGCAGGACTTCTTAAGGGATGCTTTGGAATCAAATAGGTGTTCAAAAAATTAATTTCATGCCCAATATTATTATTTTAATTTATTCATATTAACTAATTTTACGTATCAATTGTATTTGTTTCCAATTATAAAGTCTATTCAATTCTTGTTTTATTACATTATAGACAATTAGATTTGCTTCCAGACCTAATTCGTTCTCATGAGTAATATGTTATTTAGTAGCAAATACACTAATCGTCTCTAAATCTATTAATTTAATTTAATTTATTTCATATATTTGTGGTCGTAGATTAAATATAGAGACTAATACAACAATTGTCTCTAATTATTTGACTTCAAAGATAAGTTTTCTTGTAGTGGCCACATGTGATGTGCTCTACAGCCAGGCTGGCCCATGCACATTCGTAAAACCAATGTGTTTGGGTTTCCCTGAGATTGCAGAAAGGACTTGAATCCCCACGGTTTTGGCTCTTCTCCGTTACTCGAACTTCAATGGCTAACGATTCTCTTGTAAAGATCCACATAAAAATACGAACCTTGGACGACACATTTGATTAAGTTTCTACGATACAAATTTTCGGCACGAGCTAGTAATCTATAAACAGAAAACATGCATAACAATTTTTCTTCTCCAACATTCCATAACATTTATTATAAGCAGAATAATCAACTAAACGTACCAACTATAAACTAATATACTAATTAATCGAGTTTTAATATAAAATCAAATTACTAAGCAACAAATTAACGAATCTAGAGGGACTCCCCCCAAAGATCCATGTCACAGATCAAGTCATCCCAATCCCACTTGCTGCTGCAGCTCTCGTCACCGCAGCTCACCTGAACTTGCTCGAACCGGAAGTCCATCCCGATCATCTCCTCGCCGGCGACAGCGCCGCCGCCGGCCAATATCCCGCCGACTTGATGATGGTCTTCCATCCCCTGATAGCAACAGCTCCCCATCCCCATCCCTCCATCCTTCCCCTTGCTGCTGTGAATCACCCAGCTGCTGCTCTCCCCGCCGTTGTCCTCCACGAACAGCATTGACGGCGGCGGCGGCGGCACCGTCGACGTGCTGCCCTGCTCTTCTTGAAAGGCGCCGTAGTTGGGGCTCGGCGGCCTTGCTGAGGCGGCGGAGATGCTCCTTGGGTGTGGCCTGATTATCTCGACGGCAGCGCCTGGGGAGGCCGGGGAAGGGTTGGCGGCGAGCTGGAGCTTGGTGTCTTGAGTTTGGTCGACGTCTTGAGGGCCGAGCCGCTTGCTGAGGTGGCAGTTCCAGTAGTTCTTCACGTCGTTGGCTGTTCTTCCCGGCAGTCTTCCGGCGATTAGTGACCATCTGTGTGCATCAAACATTACTTATTAGCATAATAATTAATAAATACCGACATACCGTTGGTCATGTTACCCATATAGCAGGGGTCCCAATCTTAACCCCATAAAAAAAAAAAAAAAAATGAGGAGAGCTCTCTCCTCTCTCTTCTCCCTCTGTTCGGCGGCAGTGCTTGCGGCCGGCGAAACCTTATTTTCCTGCTTATCAGCGATCCTCTTCTTGGCCCTAGCTAATCAGGGTGCAATAGGAGAATGGAAATCAGATATTCGCGGGGCTCCGGAGGCGAAAGGAGCGCAAACTGAGCAGACACCCTCGCGTCGGATAAGTTTGCGCGATGGGGCGGTGTCAAAATGCCTATCTGGGCGGCGTTTGTCCGTGAGGTCCAACCGAAAGAGACACCGGGAACAGCACCTTGCGATGGCGGGCGACACTGATGATATGATATCGAAAAGATTATGTCATCCGAAACGCGTAATGTGGCGGTTTACCTTGCCGTCATCGGAAAGTATAGACGATGTTTTGCAGGATTCCTCTGATGGGTGTCCTTCCCGATCACTTAGGGAGCACAGCAAATCAGTGGATCCGATGACGAAAATTTATCCCTGGGAACTTAGACCTCACGGTGAGGCGAGTTCGGATTCTAGTCCTCAATATGGGGCATTTTCAACTCAGAGTGATCTCAAGATTTTTTCAGATGGTTTTAGTCCTCGAGCACAGGGGGCTCGGAGCAGCACAGGGGAACCTGTGAGTGAAAATTCATACTGGGAACTTAGACCTCATGGTGAGGCGAGTTCGGTACGTGGGTCTCTATATGGGGCACGTCTTGTTTCTTTTTGTCCAAGAATTCCCCTCCGGTCATGGACAATCCAAGATCGTCCGAAGGTGAATCGGGGGACGCTGTTGTTCTGCCGCCCGGTTCCTTGCCGGAGTCTTTCTCCTATCGTAAATCCAGTTACCATCCCGAAGCCGGCTGACTCGGCGAGATTCTCGGTGAAGGGTAACGGTTTGGGGGATTTGCAGTTACCACGAATCGGTAGCAGAGTGGGAATATCTTTTAGACGGTTTTTCAATTTTAAAAAATCAAGTCTCCCAACCCGATTAGAATCCTTGCAGAGGTGTAGGGCAGGGCCTGCGTTGGCCTATTTAATGAGTCCCACTCTATTCCCTTGGCAGCATCAGAGCTGTGACAAGGAAATCAAGGCACTTAGCAGGAGGTCTATCCCAGCCAAGCACGAGACATACTCGGGTACGTGGTCTCTCGGGAATGTGGGTTTTCTTTTCGGGCTTAGGGTGAATGACTCGCCTGTCATGGTTTTCTTTATCCTGTTCTCTAATTTCCCTTTTCCTTGGGCTTCTGTGTATATCACCCTCACCTTTGTGGATGCTGATGATCTACGTGCTCCACTCATGTTGCAGAAGAGTACCATGGCACGCATCACAAGTGACCAGGTGGTAGAGTTCACCCTTGCTGAAGTCCAATCCGATAGGGTGCGGAGAACGAGGATGCTTCTCGGCCGTGTTTTCTCGGAAGAGAGGTTGACAACAAAAGAGTTGCAAGCTGCGGTTAATAATCCGTGGCAGGGACAGGGTCAAATCAGAGTGCGGGAGGTGGCTCATGGGCTGTACGAGTTCACGCTCCCGAATGAAGCGGCAAAGAATTATGCGCTCCAGCGGACCCCGTGGGTAATCAAGGACAGGATCCTTCATCTCAGGGCATGGACGCCGCAGATCACGGAGCGGACATTCGAGGAATTGGCTTTTGCTCCATTCCGAGTGCAATTGTGGGACGTGCTTGAAGACTGCTGTACTCACCAATTTGGGAGAAAAGTGGCGAGCTCGACTCTCGGCCGAGTTCTCGAAGCAGGGGTGTTTACATGCACTGACACGGCGACAAATTTTATCAAAGTAAAGGTGCTTATTGATTTCTCCAAGCCACTTCGATCCCAAATTTGGGCTGCCAATGAGGAGTTGGGATCATTCTGGATCCGTTTCAAATACGAACACCTCCCTAGTTTTTGTTATCATTGTGGCCGGGTTGGCCATTATCGTCATAGCTGCATCCATGATCCTCCTACGAGGAAGGAGAGATTTGGCCCTCACATGATGACCAAACAGATGGGGAGGAAAGTTTTCGAGGAGATGGAGAAGGATCAGCGGTTCCATGGTCACACTAACTCGGTCTGGGTGAACACAAAATTAAGGAATTCGGCCGGTGTGGAGACAAACGGAGCTGGTGTTTCGGCTGCTGTGTTGCCGAAGGAAAATACGACAGACAAGTTTCCAGTTGTGGAGGAAAGCCCAAAGTGGATGGGGTCCTCTAATAATCCTTTCAGCACCACTGAACAGCAGGCTGCTGGTAAAAACCGGAGCCCAATCCGCATCTCAGTGGCCAAAGGGCCCAAGGTCCTTGTGGGGAGACAGGCCCGACGCGGTCGAAATAGGGCTTATCCCATAGCCAGTCCAATGGACATCGATCGGGCCTGTAGTCCGGCCCAGGTGTCGCGCCGTCTGGGGCTTGACTCAAAGCAGGCGTGGGCCAAATCTGGGGTTGCTGGGTCCATCACTATGGAAGTGGAGCGGGCCCAATTACCAGCCCAATCGTTGCGCCGGCCGGGGCGGAAAACTCCGCAGGAGCGGATCAAAGGTGGGGGTGCTGCTGCGGAGGTGAGGAAAACCAGGGAGCCGGCGGCGGGGAGATGCCAAGTGAAGGCTCCGCCTCCGATTTCTGTCCCTCAATCTGAGGAGGTGATGATGACGCGGCGGCGGAGGGTCATTTTGGAAGAGGAATCAGAGGACGATTTTGTCCTCCAGGATGTCTCGCCCAAATTCCACAAGGAGGTGCCTCGTGTGACCCCCAAGGCCGGCGGTATCAAGCCTGTTATTCAGGCGGTGGCTGTATCCCAGGGTGAGCAGGAAGCTTTGGGACCAGTACCTCGTGATGGGGAACTTCCTCCAGCTGCTCCGCGGGCAAAACGAGGCAATGGCCTGGTGGGGGGTAAGCTCAAAGCTTCGATGAAGACCTCGAAAGGTATGGTGGCCGGCCGTCATCCAAAGCTGTCAAAATCTTCAATTGTAGGTGCTCCCGAGTCAACCCGAGGGGTGAATCCGGCTGCTGTTCCGGTGGTGGAGCCAGATTTGACTGGCGTGGCTGATGCGCATCCTTTACCTTCCCCCCGCGAGCCTGTTGGACTTCCGGAGATTGATGAAGTCACCTCGGAGGGGGAGACCCAGGATTTTGAACTTAAACGCCGGTCCCCTGTGCTCAAGGGCAGACTCCGACGATTAGCCAATTCGTCCAAAGTGAGCCAAGTTGTGCGGGCGTTTGAGCAGGGGATGGCGATAGGGGAGTATGTGGATGACATAGGGCCTGGGAAGGAGCCGAAACAAAAAGAGGTGGCTGAGCAGGGGCCTCGTGTGGATATTGTTCCCAATTTTACTGTGGAGGAGTATGGTTCCAATTTGCTGGATATTGACGCCGGCACCAATAAGCGTCATTTTGAGGAGATTGGTGGGGAAGTGGAGGACATTCCAACCCCAAAGAGACAATTCGTCGAAGAGAAAGATGGTCAAGATAAGGTGGAGGAAGCCAGCCTCGAGTGGCCCCAGTCCGATAAATGAGGCTATTGGCCTGGAATGTGAGAGGAATTGGGCCATCCCTCACATTCCAAACTGCTTTTGGTTTAGTGCATTCTAATAAACCGGATCTCGTGTTTTTTTCGGAAACGCGATCGAACCGGAAGGTAGTTGCCCGGCGGTTGCGGGGTTTAGGTTTTCTTCGTTCTTGTTGTTTTTTTGTTGATGCGGTTGATACTTCAGGAGGGTTGGTTGTTGGTTGGTCCCCCGAAGTTGCGGCTTCGGTGTTTTTTCATTCGGATTTTTGTATTTGTGTTCAGATTAATGAAAGGAACTTTTCTTATGTGGTGATCTTTGTCTATATTAGTTGCCATGCTGATGTTAGAACCACCCAGCTAAATCATTTGCGCGGTATTTGTGGTGGTCTCTCGATTCCCTATACTATCATTGGAGATTTTAACACTACTCTTCATGAGAATGAGAAGGATGGGGGGAATCAATGGAATGCTAATCACTCTATCAGTCTTCGGGACTTTATCCTTGATATGGGCCTTATTGATCCAGGGTACCAGGGGGATCAGTTTACCTGGACGAATAAACGGATGGGTGCTGCATGTATCCGTGAACGGTTAGACAGGGCCCTGTGTTCTCAGTCTTGGCTGGACCACTTTCCTGATACCCTGGTAAAGCACTTTACAGATCAAGGATCGGACCATCGGGCACTCTTACTGTCTGACAAGCCTTATGTCCGCAATAGTCGCCCTCTGTTTCGATTTGATGCGCGATGGGCTGAGAACCCTGAGGTTCGAGCCATGGTGGCGTATACTTGGAAAGAGGACGTTCAGGGAACCCCCATGTTTAGATTATGGGAGCGCCTCAAGAGGCTCCGACACCTTCTGTATGATTGGAGCCGTGCAGGGACGACTAATTCTTTGAGAAATATAAAAACCCTGCAGACGGAAATAGATCGGCTCAAACAGGACCATCCCATTAACTGGGTGGAGGTCCGTTCGCTTGAGATGGAGTTGAGTAGACAATGGGAAGCGGAGGAAGAATACTGGCAACAAAAGTCCAGGGTTCGTTGGCTTAAGAAAGGGGATCAAAACTCATCGTATTTCCATACGGTGACGAGAACCCGCCGAAAAAGGAATTTTGTGAGCGGCCTTCGGGATGAGGATGGTACTTGGATCACGGATGAAAAAGGCAAGGCGAATATTGCTACAAATTTCTATAGTACCCTTTTCACCTCGGAAAATCGGGTGCATGATATGTATAGTCGGATCGATAACTTGCCTATCTCCCGAAGTGTCACGCCAGACATGAATGAGAGTTTAACGGCGGTAGTACTACCAGAGGAAATTCGCCGGACTGTGTTTGCGATGGGCTCGAAACAAGCCCCGGGGTCTGATGG